AAAATGAGAAGAGGAGGCGAGAGAGAACCTACAGGTTAGACAGTGTAAATAAAGGGCAGAGCGAAAACACTTCGCAGCGGAGTGAACTTAAATAATATTCCTTTAACTGTAATTGGTGTTTTGTTTTATGTTGAAAAAGAGGAGGCGAGAGAGAACCTACAGGTTAGACAGTGTAAATAAAGGGCAGAGCGAAAACACTTCGCAGCGGAGTGAACTTAAATAATATTCCTTTAACTGTAATTGCTGTTTTGTTTTATGTTGAAAAAGGTTTCTTAACCGAAAAATATATTGACTGTTACTCTTCTAACGCACTCACCGCGGAAACTGCGAAGTGTATTTAGTAGCACCATGCCTCGAACCCGAAATCACCTGATCATCAGTACGCTAACACTAGACTCGCTCGAGTCTGTGTGGTAACAAATTCGAATAATATAGGTTGCACTTTATATTTTAGCTGTTAAAGATTTTGAATCCACTGCATTAGAAAGGAATGGTGACAGGTGTAATTGTTTTTGTTTTTTTTAAGTTACAAGGCTACACAATGAGCTATTTGCGCTCTATCTACCGAGTGGAATCGAGCCTCGAATTTTAGCGTTGTAAGTCCGGAAACGTCCCGCTGATCCACCAGTGGACATGGCGAAAAGAGATTTTTATCTGATTAATTACTCTTGCTAATAAACTTACGCTAGGGAGGGTCAGATTCAGCATTGACCTCTTCCTTCCTAAGGTCAGATACAGCGCTCCCTAATTTTGAACTTCGGACTAAAGGGAAAACAACCAGTTAGCATCCACCACGTGAGCGGCTGTTTTTAACCGAAAAAGATATTGGCTGTTACTCTTATAACGCACTCACCGCGGAAACTGCGAAGTGTACAAACATGGACCAAATCTCGACGTAGAACCCGACGACCTGACCGTTTATGTTGTGTGCATAAGCTAAACGAACAAACGCGATCACAAAAGAGACCCACTTTGCCAAATTCGTAACTTCTATATCATTAATGTTCCTGAAACAAACACACATGAACTGGTGAAAAGATATTTATGCACGCTGCAGCATAAACACAAGTATTCTAATTTGATGACGAGGAACCCACTTTTAGAAAATAAAGTTTGAAGATGGCTTGAATGGGTAACGAAAGACACCTTATTACAAGTAACAAATGTACATCGTTTTGACATGTTTTTGTCATCATCAGGTACAAGCAGCTTACATGGACATAGGAATATATATATATGTATACAGTATGGAATAAAGAGTTCACGTGACCGGATATTGCTTAACAAAAGCTTGTCGAAACGTTGTACATTTGTTACTTGTAATAAACTTTCTTTTATTACCCGTTCAAGCCATCTCCAAATCTTATTAAACATACGTATGTTTATCAAGTCAGAAGCTTACACATAAGCATCTGGACAAGCACTTTAGTTATACCGCTAGAAACCGGATTTCGATACCCGTGATGGGCAGAGAACAGATAGCTTAATAACAAACAACAAAAAGAACAACAAGCACATTAGATAATTCAAAGAAAGTTAAATTGTAGCATAAAAATAATGTTTATAATTTTGTCTCAATTCCGACGAAGTGTTATTGGAATATTTACGTTGGATGTTTTCAGTTGTCCGTCATTAACTTGCTTTGTGACCTCTTTTTATTCATATTTGCCACCTTATGCAAAGGAATGCAGCTTACAGTTTGATACTTTTTACCAGTTATTTCTACCCTGTTTTGGAGGCGTGTTTCTTATTTATTATTTAAACGTATTTGATTAACAGAAACAAGATATACCAAGTATAATTTATTTTCACATTAAAGTACTAACACAACAAGTCGTTGAATACCATTTTGTCATTGCAAAAGATTTAGTACATATTTTTATTTTATATTTATACCAAAGCTATTTAGGCTATCTGCCAGCATATCTAATTTTAAACTATTGACCAGAAGAAAGGCAGCCAGTTAGCAGCACCTTACCACCCACCATCCACGCTAGTGGGATTGACTGTCACTTTTATAACAATTCGAGGCTTAAAGTAGGGGGTGGGGGTATCTTATGGTATCGCACGAATTCGCGACCAGCTCGCCAGCTCCGAAATTCAGAGCTCTTCCACAGGATCACTTTGTTATCAATAGGAAAGACGAACATGAAATGAACTGTAGATGTGTTATACTTAAGAACTGGTACACAATGTTAATATGATAACTTACGTGCATTTTGAGGACACTATTGGTATCACACGTACAAAAGTATTTGCTACATGTTATATGGGGATTGAAATGGAACCGCTCTAAACCCTTAACCTTTCTCCTGCTTCATGGTCATTTAGGTAATATTAAAATGTTAGCTAAAAATGCATGAAATACTAATTTAGATGGTAATTATTGCAAATGACTTGAGACTGACCAATAATACTGTAATAGTTTCATATCGAGACCCAAAACTCGAGCGCTTTCGAATAGTTGACTATTCTTCTTTATTCT